ATAATAAAATTAAAACTTAGAGGAACACACCTAGTCCGGAATCCATTGTCTGCATGATCATTTCCAAAGTATTACCGTGGACATGGTACATTCCCAAACGTTTCGCCTGCATCGTCAGTGAGTATCGCCATACTTAGCATCATACAACAACTCGTCAAAGAGACAAATGAAGCCGATCCTTCGACCAAACGTGTGCTAAACAATTGTGGTATCTCCTCTTCTGCTCTCGGTCATTCGCGTTTCAGGTAGCATCCTATCATGTCTTCATTCTTACAATTTTAACCGTGTTTATTTATATATTATATGGTGTGCTCCTTTGAGCGACATGAAACCTTCGTCCTCCAACTGTCGTTCTCACCCCCCCCTTCATCCTTGTGCAGGGAATGTTGATCAGAGTATGCATTATTATTGCTATGCAGTCCTCATTCCTAGTCTTATCCCAGACTCTTTCTTGCTCCGTAAAATCCGTCTGCTCTATCCCTTGTTTACCTATTTCACTCGACTCCTGCTACCACATCTGTCCTACTCAAGGCGTTATTCGCCCTCCCCTGCGCCTGGTTGACTAATTTGAGGCTACATGTTCCACGTCTCTGGTACAACAGACCTACCGTCAGCCAACTAGCTCCGGTCCCCACCGTCTCTATCCTGTTTCTATCCCTAAAACCAAGTCTATGATTTGCTAGGCCTTGTGTGCCAACCCACAAATCTTGTGGTACAGCATATTTTGATTTGGTTCAATGTTAAACCCCAACAATTGTGGGTTGGCACGTTCCTCTAAGTCTTCCTACCAATATGACCATGTTGCGAAAACAAGGTCAAACAATCTCTATACAACGAAAGGAGACTGTGACCACGCAAAAGGCCACACTATCTTGGTCTTCATACCTTCGATTAAAATTAAAAATTGGAACTTAGTCAAATAACTTAAGCAAGTGAAAAATGGGGCAATATTACCGTAAAACGAGCACACACGAGCAGCTAATTATGCACGCACACACACACACACACACACACACATGAGTTGTACATGTGAAACTAATAAATATATCACAAATGCTGCAAGTGGTAACTGGAAGGAAGTACACTCCCAGGATAGAAGGGCTTATTTGACCAAAATCTGGCTTATAAAAATGGCTAAAAGCAGTAAAATATTACAAATTAACTTTTTCTGCTTCTCTCGGATGAGTCGCCTAATCATATGAATCGGATAGCCAGCTTTAAGCTATTCACTTGGCCAAAGATTCCATTTCTACTCTCATGCGCAAATACCCACATCTGCACATGTGTGTCTCGATTCTGTTGGTGATGAAAAAAATGCAAACGACAGGCGAATTAGTACAGTTTCTTCATTTTATGGAGCCAATTCGGAACTTTTGGAGCCTTCTAGTCTACGAAACCCTGGGAGGCAGCATAGCAGACGCCCAAACAAGTGCATGTATCAAATTTGTTGTTGTATAATTGTTCTATGGCTTGGGAAGGAAACTCTGTGAAGAAGTGTTTGCTACGAATGTGGTGGCAACCTTCTTTCCAGGAAACCCCAGACAAACTCAAATTCGGAACTGGAGGGTGACAACAACCGCAGGCACCATCTCCTATTCGAGGTAGGTCTTACTTGACGATGAGCTCGTTATCAATACGCCCGTTGTTCTCCTCTTTGCTCAGATTGATGGCATCAAGTAGTTCCACGGCCTCGTTTGTTTTCGCCTCTTCGTTCTCCTCGTCCACTTGCTCCAGTTCCACGCTGCCGTCGGTGGCGCTGACGCTAGAGACAACCTGTTCCTGTTCACGTGTCCACCAGCACGAATGCATGAGTGCACGGAAGTGGAGAAGAGGGGCGATGGGAAGGAACGGTTAGTGAACAGATATTCCAGACACAAAGAGTAACTGGGTTTCGCTGAATCTTCTGAGACAACATTGTTGGTGAGACTTTCATGAATAAGGGATTT